TGGCCATTTGATCTACAAGACATATTTTGCAAAGATTTTAGACTAAGTTCATGATAATTAAGTTCATCTAATCAAATTATTTAATGAACTTCCACTCAGATTGACATCCCTCTAGTCGTCTAAGTGTTACACGATCCGAGTCGACTAGGCCGTGTCCGATCATCACGTGAGACGGACTAGTCATCATCGGTGAACATCTCCATGTTGATTGTATCTTCCATACGACTCATGTTCGACCTTTCGGTCTCTTGTGTTCCGAGGCCATGTATGTACATGCTAGGCTTGTCAAGTTAACCCTAAGTGTTCTGCATGTGTAAAACTGTCTTACACCCGTTGTATGTGAACGTAAGGATCTATCACACCCGATCATCACGTGGTGCTTCGAAACGACGAACTTTAGCAACGGTGCACAGTTAGGGGAAACACTTTCTTGAAATTATTATAAGGGATCATCTTATTTACTACCGCCGTTCTAAGTAAACAAGATGCATAAACATAATAAACATCACATGCAATTATATAATAGTGACATGATATGGCCAATATCATATAGCTCCTTTGATCTCCATCTTCGGGGCTCCATGATCATCTTCGTCATCGGCATGACACCATGATCTCCATCATCATGATCTCCATCATCGTGTCTTCATGAAGTTGTCACGCCAACGACTACTTCTACTTCTATGGCTAACGCGTTTAGCAATAAAGTAAAGTAATTTACATGGCGTTCTTCAATGACACGCATGTCATACAAAAATAAAGACAACTCCTATGGCTCCTGCCGGTTGTCATACTCATCGACATGCAAGTCATGATTCCTATTACAAGAACATGATCTCATACATCACAATATATCATTCATCATTCATCACAACTTCTGGCCATATCACATCACATGACAATTGCTGCAAAAACAAGTTAGACGTCCTCTAATTGTTGTTGCATCTTTTACGTGGCTGCAATTGGGTTCTAGCAAGAACGTTTTCTTACCTACGAATAACCACAACGTGTTTTTCTCAACTTCTATTTACCCTTCATAAGGACCCTTTTCATCGAATCCGCTCCAACTAAAGTAGGAGAGACAGACACCCGCTAGCCACCTTATGCAACTAGTGCATGTCAGTCGGTGGAACCTGTCTCACGTAAGCGTACGTGTAAGGTCGGTCCGGGCCGCTTCATCCCACAATACCGCTGAAGCAAGAAAAGACTAGTAGCGGCAAGCAAGTTGACAAGATCTACGCCCACAACATATTTGTGTTCTACTCGTGTAATAGAGAACTACGCATAGACCTAGCTCATGATGCCACTGTTGGGGAACGTTGCAGAAAATAAAAAAAATTCTACGGTTTCACCAAGATCCATCTATGAGTTCATCTAAGCAACGAGTGAAAGGAGAGATGCATCTACATACCACTTTGTAGATCGCGAGCGGAAGCGTTCAAAAAAACGGGGTTGAAGTAGTCGTTCTCGTCGTGATCCTATCACCGGAGATCCTAGCGCCGAACGGACGGCACCTCCGCGTTCAACACACGTATGGTCAGTGTGGCGTCTCCTCCTTCTTGATCCAGCAAGGGGAAAGGAGAGGTTGATGAAGATCCAGCAGCACGACGGTGTGGTGGTGGATGCAGCAGGACTCCGGCAGGGCTTCGCCAAGCAACTGTGGGAGGAGGAAGAGGTGTAGCAGGGGGAGGGAGGTGCCAAGACTCAGGGTGCGGCTGCCCACCCTCCCCCCTCCTTTATATAGGCCCCCAGGGGGGCACCGGCCCTGGAGATGCAATCTCCCAAGGGGGGCGGCGGCCAGGGGGGTGGAGTGCCCCCCAAGGCAAGTGGTGCGCCCCCACCCTAGGGTTTCCAACCCTAGGCGCAGGAGGCCCAAGGGGGGGGGCACACCAGCCCACTAGGGGCTGGTTCCCCTCCCACTTCAGCCCACGGGGCCCTCCGGGATAGGTGGCCCCACCCGGTGGACCCCCGGGACCCTTCCGGTGGTCCCGGTACAATACCGGGTGACCCCGAAACTTTCTCGATGGCCGAAACAACACTTCCTATATATAATTCTTTACCTCCAGACCATTCCGAAACTCCTCGTGACGTCCGGGATCTCATCCGGGACTCCGAACAACATTTGGTTTGCTGCATACTCATATTCGTACAACCCTAGCGTCACCGAACCTTAAGTGTGTAGACCCTACGGGTTCGGGAGACATGCAGACATGACCGAGACGGCTCTCCGGTCAATAACCAACAGCGGGATCTGGATACCCATGTTGGCTCCCACATACTCCTCGATGATCTCATCGGATGAACCACGATGTCGAGGATTCAAGCAACCCCGTATATTGTCAGACGGTATGTTACTTACCTGAGACTCGACCGTCGGTATCCCAATACCTCGTTCAGTCTCGTTACCGGCAAGTCACTTTACTCATACCGTAATGCATGATCCCGTGACCAGACACTTGGTCACTTTGAGCTCATTATGATGATGCACTACCGAGTGGGCCCAGTGATACCTCTCCGTAATACGGAGTGACAAATCCCAGTCTCGATCCGTGTCAACCCAACATACACTTTCGGAGATACCTGTAGTGCACCTTTATAGTCACCCAGTGACGTTGTGACGTTTGGTACACCCAAAGCACTCCTACGGTATCCGGGAGTTACACGATCTCATGGTCTAAGGAAAAGATACTTGACATTGGAAAAGCTCTAGCAAAACGAACTACACGATCTTGTGCTATGCTTAGGATTGGGTCTTGTCCATCACATTATTCTCCCAATGATGTGATCCCGTTATCAACGACATCTAATGTCCATAGTCAGGAAACCATGACTATCTGTTGATCAACGAGCTAGTCAACTAGAGGCTTACTAGGGACATATTACGGTCTATGTATTCACACGTGTATTACGATTTCCGGATAATACAATTATAGCATGAATAAAGACAATTATCATGAACAAGGAAATATAATAATAATCCTTTTATTATTGCCTCTAGGGCATATTTCCAACAACATGTTCCATGTAGGGCTGGAGGTTTGGTTCATCAAATGGAGACTCTTAGCTTTGTGTTCATCCTGAAGATGATGCTAAAAATCCTTCGCATGACAAATGATTTGTCTCTTCTATTGCAAAAGAAGGATCAAAATGTTGTTCAGGTATGTGATGGAACATGCTATATGTATCTAGTCTGTTTGATATGTTTTGTTCATGTAAACATACATGCATCTAAAATTGTAATTGTCTCATTTTAGGAAATGTCATTGGTTACAGATGTGAGAACACGTTTGATCAACTGGAGAAATAATGGTTGGGAGCCACTCTTGGAAGATGTCAAAGCCTTTTGCGCCAAAAACGACATTCCCATACCAAATATGGATGGCATCTTTACAAAGGGGGGGGGGACAAGAAAAGGTGGACGAAACAATGTCACGGCTGACCATTTTTTCCACGTGGACACCTTCTATGCTGCCATAGACTCCATCACCATAGAGTTTGATCATCGTTTTAATGAGGTATCTTCAGAGCTGCTCCAGAACTTCTCTTGTCTTGACCCTAGAAACTCCTTTTCTAGGTTCAATGTGAATAAGCTTGCTAGACTCACAGAGATTTGTCATGAGGATTTCTCAGATTATGAACGTGAACATATAGTTGATAACCTAGAGCTATTCATTATCCATATGAGAAGAATTGAAGACTTTAGAGCTTGTCATGATATTGCAAGTCTAGCAAAAAAGATGGTTGAACTTGAGAGGCATGTCATGTTTCCTGCTATTTATCGCCTCATTGAGTTGGCATTGCTACTACCGGTAGCGACGGCAACAGTTGAAAGAGCCTTCTCATCAATGAAAATCATCAAGACTGAGTTGCGCAGCAAGATGTGTGATGGCTGGCTAAATGACTTGATGGTGTGTTACATTGAGCGAGAGATCTTCAAAAGTATTGATCTCAATAAAATTAAGGAAGATTTTCAGAAGGAGGGTAGGGCACTGCCATTGCCTGGGTCTTCTACACGCCACTAAATGCTTCATTATCGGTATGTTTTAGGTTGTTTTTCTATTGAAACATGTCTGCAATTTCGTTGTATTTGGTTATTCGTTTGTAGTGTGCACTGTTAGTGTGTATTGACTCCTTTGATTTGCATAAAGAAAAATCTTAGTGAGACTTCGCCCCACCTTAATTTTTTTTTCGTGGTCCGCCTCTGTATGTGCTATGAAAAAACATCGTTGAAAGCCTCGTAGTCAAGCCAGATTGGCTATCGGAGGAGGACAATCCCTTATGATGTCCATCTTTATCAACCAAGTACTTGAAGAAAAACCTGGATCTCTCTCTTGTCGCACCATCACGTAATGGATCACCGTTTGAGCATCACCGAAAATGATTGTTTCCTGCTTGTAGAGATAGCAAAAATTCTAAATGTATCTCGTCGTGCATTCAAGCTGATCATAGACCCGGATTGAATTTGCAAGATATCTATGATTTTGTGTTTGAGGATCCCAGAATTTTCCATCTCTACAATACTCGCTTTCAGCTCGTCGCTCATTCGTTTGTGTGAACACAATATACAAGAAAGATCACGTGGGACCAGAGGATGGGGTGTGTTCATCTATGAAATCTTTCACAAACCACCACCATGTTTCCTCGACTCTTACAGTGACCAATTTGGGTTTACACACAGCACGAGTGGTATTTTGTGGCCTCCTCTTCCTTTTCATGCGTTGAACTTTTTTGGGGGCAATTTTCGGTGCACAAGATTATGTACAATGCGACTTTGGCAACTTGGGCAATCTCGCATTTCCATGTTCTGAAAAAGGCATGCAGGCTATTCGAACATCTGAACAACTTTAGACAGCAGAACTGCTCCAATTGCAATTCGGTGCACAAGATTATTTGCACGATCAATACACCGTTACCCAACAAATTTGCGTTAGTTCCTACCTCTATCTCCCGCTATATACAGCTTGTCTCTCTCACTCTCAAAGTCAGTACATTTTCCAGCTTCATTCATCGCTGGAGGTTATGAGCGTCGGTATTTGCCCGTTGTCCGCAAAATCCAACTTGTTCAGCCTCATGCAGCACAACACATGCTCAGGTAGCTCCTCAGCCTTCTGTGCCTGCACCCAGACGACAAGGTTCAGACTTTCAGCCAACAAAATACTCCTCATGACAACAGGTCCCAAGGCCAAGAACAGAGGGGAAATATTAAGTACCTGAATGGTCAGCCCAAGATCGATGACACCATGTTTCAGCCGCTCTCGGAAGGTCTCGAGGCCCTTCCGCGATATGTAGCTGAACCGGTGCACGTCGATGTCGATCTCGAAGTAGTTCGAGCCCTGCATCACAATGAACAAACGGACGCACACGTTTCAGTCAGCACTAGGACATGAAGAAATCTCTGAATTTGAGCACATGGAGATGTGAGACAGCATAATTGGTTAGTACAGTACCTTGTAGAATTTGTGCTGGGGCCTAGACAGCACGGGCTTCTGGTTGTAGGTCTGCACAAGCCTCCTCTCGGCCGCGCTGAGCTGCAGGTCTTCAGGGTTTACAATGCCGGCCAGGATTTTCAGCCTCTCTGTGTAGGGCACGTTGCTGTCCACCGGGAACCCCTTGACCTTCTCCATTTCCTCGTTCATAACACTCTGCATAACCAATTACTCATCAGAAACTTGTCCAAGCCTCCAAGGTACTGAAAATTGTTAGATTGTGAAATGAAATAGAAATGTAATCAATTTGGCTCACCTTGATGCTGTCCTTGAGCTGAGGAGAGATCTCCTTGTCGAAGCTATCGGATATCTTGAAATACAGGACCAGGCTAACCCCGTCGCCGTCGTTCTCGCCGAACATGGTAGTAGGGTAGGTAGGCAACTGTACAGATCAGTTAGCTTGTTAAATTCAGATCTAACCAATCAATTCCCAAAGGTGACAAATCAGTACAACTTGTTAAGTGTTAGGTCAAGAAACACGAGTGAATTACCTGAATGTTGACAATGAGGAGCGAAGGGAAGGAGTCGTGGGGCTTGAACGACGGGAGCGCGATGTGCTGCGCAATGTGGTGCACCTTCCTTGGGCAGGCAAACATGTCAGCTCCGATCGGGGTGTAGGGGGAGCAGTTTGGGGCTGGGGATTTCCTCTTGTCTCTGCAACCAATTTCATAAGCTTCAGTCAGGCATGCTGACAGACGAAATATACAGTGAGTGAATGCACATCAGGAGTTTCAGTAACACTGCTTCTTACCTGAAGAAACCCTCCCCTCTGACCCTGAACACCGACGGCTCGAGGACCGACCAGCAGCCCTCCGACGGCTTCTCGCCGGCCGCACACGGCAGCGTCAGGCCCGCTCTCGGCCGGTACAGGTACTTGGCCGAGCCAGCTGAATTGATCGTCAGTTTCGTCAGCAAAGCAGGAACGAAATGCTGATGAACAAATTGAACGATAGTGCTGGATCAGTAGGCGAAAGTGGTGATGTTGACTCACTCATTTCGGTCATCTCATCGCCCTCGTACGACCTCCTCCGGAAGGAGAGCCTGACGACGGCCGATTTCTTCCTCTGGTGGTGCGGGCTGAACCCGGCGACCGGCATCGGCTGCACCTTGTGGCTCGGGACGGAGCCCGGGAGAGGCCGAGGCGAGCAGGACGCCGCGCTCTGCGGTTCTTTCAGGCCACCGGCAGCGGCATGACCAGGAGCAGGAGCAGCGTCGGGGTCCTCGCTTTTCCCCGGGGGGTCGCCCTGGCACGCCTCCGCGTCCGCGATGCTCCGGAGGCGCTGCACGGCGTCCGCCAGGCACGCCGCGTCCTTGCACGGCGACGCGCTCGTGCCGCCGGCGGCGTCCTCCGGGAGAGGATCTGGATTTTGCAAGGAGGGGGATGGATATGTGAGCACGGCGAGCCTGGAACTTACTGCACTGCAGGGCAGGAAAGATGGGGGCGAGCGCCATACCTCCACTGACGCTGGAGTAATCGTTGTCGTCGTCGTCGGAGCCGGCCGAGTCCCCCAGCATGCTGACGGAGTCGTACCACGCCTCGTCGCAGATCACTGCAAAAAACAAGAAAAGAAAATTCAGTGCTCTGGTCGAGCAGGTCGGCGCCGGCCGGAGAACACGAGGCGTTTGGTTTGGTGCCTCACCATTCCCTGCGTCCATCTGGCTGTGCTGCCACTGCAGCTGCGTGAGGTGGAGCGTGACGCCCGAGGCCGGCGGCGCGCCGTCGACGCGGACGACCCCGTGGCGCGCGGCGAAGCGGCCGGCCGCGTCGCCGGCGATCGCGGCGGACACCTTGCGGCGGAACTTGGTCGCCGTGGCCGACAGCTTCCTGGAGGACCTCCGCCGCCGCCTCGTGGTCGACACGCAAGAACCCATCGCCGGCGAGCACGCACGCACGCACACCTGACCGGACCAAACCACCCTCGCAGAGTTAGCTAGCAACTCAAGGCCGGCCGGCTTGAAGCTTGACGGACGGATATATACCGCACTTTGGGAGAGACCCAAGGGACGGATCAATCAAAGAGCTTTACCTGCCCTTATCGATCAACCCAATCAATCAATCTAGTAGCGACCTCTAATTATCTCAGACTTCTCAGCGGATAATGCCAGGAGAAAAAGGGGTTCCTCTCGGACACGGGAGCCCGGCCGCCAACAATTCCGCAGTCTCCAGCTGCCTACCACCCCAAGCAGTCCTCCCTCTACTTGTACTAGTACCTCGCCCTAAGCATCATCCTAATCATGGGATGGGAGGGGAGGGAGGCGAGAACGTGACGCGCATGCCACTTAGTTAATTGACCCGTGCCCGGCCTAAAGCGTGTTGATCATCCATTCCATGGACGGATCCCCTCCCTGATCTTTGCTGCTCCGCAAAGGCGCGGCATATGAATCGCCGGGAAAGGGTAAAGAATTCCGAGGCGGAGGGACGGGGAGGGTACGGGGCACTGCCCGGTCTCTGTCACGCGTGTTCCAGGAACCCAACCCAGCCCAACCCAACCTAAGCGGGGTCGCAACAGTGCCGCTGGCTCCACTAATTAATCCGGCCATGAAGCTTCTCAGCTTCCGTTCACCTATTTTTTATGGCGATGAAGGAATAATGGTTAGGTGAGTCGAGTCGAATAGTACCCGGGCCTCGGTCGATCCAGGTTTGTTTGGCTTGGTTTGTGTAGAGCATTACTAGTAGAATCCTCAAACCCTCAAACCCTCACTAGCGTTTTAAGGGTCCAAAAATGATTTTTTTGTGCACTTTTACGGGTTGAAAAACAGAGACAAAGATTAGAACCCTCAAACCCAACCCTTATAACGGAATATTCCCCATGAACGACGTTGTTGTTGCGCGCGGGAGGTCGACGGGGTGGCCGCCGGCGACGGGGGCGACTAGCAGCGGCGGTCGCAGGCGTGGGCGCGGGAGTTGGGAGGATTTTTCCCTCCCGCGCGAGTGTAACCGCCAAATGAGGGTTGGGGTAGCTTTTGCTCCCCAGCCCTTACTTTTGAGGATTGGAAGAGGGTTTGAGGGTTGGACCTTTAAAAAAAATTGAGTGTTTGAGGGTTAAGGGGTTCTAGTCTACGGGTTTTTTTCGACGAAAACTGTAAAAAAGTAGTTATTTTTAGAGGTTTGAGGGTTTGAGGGCTCTACTAGTAATGCTCTTAGGGTGGTCAAACTGCGGGTGAGTGCGCGTGTACTTGGTCACGGAGGAAGCTCGGCTCTCTCTGTCTGGCTTGTCTGAACAAGGAATTTTAATGCTGGGAGAAAATCATGTCCCTGTTGATCGTTTTGACATGGCTTGCTTCCAAATCTCCGCAAACACATGCCCCCCAAGCAAAACAAAATCCTCAGATTCGATGTGTGACATATATGCAAAGCGAGGGACCGTGACTGATGCGGACATGTAATGAAAATATCATGTTTGTACCTTTCAAAAAAAACAAAAAGAATCGTGTTTGAGCGGGCGGTTTTCATTTTATGGGTTGTGTGTGTGTGCGTGCCTTTAAGCTTTGCTTCTCGCCAGAATTGGAGTGGCCTTGTCGTCGTCGTCTCTGCGGTCGACATTACTGGTGGTCTTGAGCTCGCTACCGAGGTTGTAAGGTTTCCGTTTCGCGGTTCGGTGGGCTCAGGTGGCGTCGGAGTCGATAGATCGTGGGCGCGATGGGCGATGTCGACGATGGTGGTGTGGCCGACATCGTGTGGCCTCCATTGGGTTTGAGTTATGCTTGTTGCCTTTGCTCTGCTCGGTAGACTGGTGGTGCTCCAGGCTCGCTTGCTGCTTCCGATTTTCTTTAATTGACCGGACAACTTTTTCCTCTTACAATGATGTGCGTGAACTCTACGGCAACATTGGTTGCCAAAAAATATGTGCCATGCGTTCTTTTCCTTCCCACTAGAAAATGTAGGTCGTTTTTACGATCTGGGTCACCACAAACAAATATTACCCAAGCATTTCTAGTATATGAAATTGCAAAAACTACATCCATTATAAAATATATGCCTTTGTAATGTATATCTACTTTTATTTGAACTGGCATACTTTTGTATACATATAAATCGATGGTCAAAGTTTCACCTTGAAGAGTATGCCAAATTTCGAAGCGACTTGCATTTATAGACAAGAGGGGACATCTTTACATGATTTGTGTAGACACAAAATCCCATTGAGTAGCACTATACGATATCTAGAGAGATCCTATGTTCATACCACTTTAAACAAACTATTGATATAAAGTATAAAATGGTTTGCTTTTCTTAGGCATAGCTTGCACGCCAATGTATGTATAACAACAAAAAAAGGAGGGGATAATCAACAAAAAAATGGCACTGCAAACAGCTAGCAGCACTTGAAAAAGGCCGCCCTCCAACCCGATCAACTACAGCAACAAACTAATAATAAAGATCATGCCAGTTTTATTTTATTTATGTACTATATATGCAACGAAGAAGCACTAAACAATGGTGATGCAGCCGGGCAGTCCAAGCCGTGACCTTTTTCATATCAGCGGGAGGAGGAGCAGAGCACACATCGTCTGATCAATCATACTTTCTTTTGCTGTCTGCTGGTGTGCTCCCCATGTCGGACCACGGCCCATAAACAAGACCCATGTACCGTCAAATCGCGCTCCCGGAAAAAGAAAAAGAGAAAAAGAGTTCCCTCAAAAAAAAAAGGAAAAAGAAAAGGAGAGGGGAAAACAACTGTGTGGATGGATGGATGGATGTGTGAGTGATGTATACGCGCAACCTGTCAGGCGGCGAATGGCCGAACGTAGTGGGCGTGATGAATGGATGGCCCTGCGGCGTGTCGTTCTCTGTAGCAGGTTTTGAATCAAGAAAAGAAAAATACACACCAACGTACGTACATTGCATATGATGTGAAGGAGTAGTATCATGTCCATAAACAACAATGGAGACCAATAGTGTGTGATTTAGAAGGTAGAGGAAGCGATGGATCACCTCGTTTTGGCGCGCGCACCAGATGCCACCGAGTAATTTATGATGGTAATGCTTTTGTTGATGAACAGCGGACATGAGCAGGTGATGACGATGCTAAGGCGGAAATGAAAACCTGAACGAGAATAATTATTAGGCGGCGGGCGGGGATGTTTACAGACTTGGTTGGGAGAAATTGAAAACCTGAAGAAGCATAATGCTCTCTCGGCGGTAGTGTGCGTTGGTGCCGATTCTGCTTTGTGATGTACACACCGCACTGACTGACTGAGTGCAGGAGCGAGCACGAAAGAGGACCGGCGACGGGGACGCGTGCGTGCGTGCAGCCGCGGAACTCCGTGGTGGGCCGGGTGCGGGCTCCGGCATCGACGGGGAGACCTGACCGCGTACCGGCGCAGCACGCGGTCCCGATAATTTCTGGCCCGTTTCGGGCAGGCGTTTTCGCTGTCGCCAATTGCTTGCGCCTCGGCTCGACTGGACGAGTCTGAATCGAACACCTCCCTTTAGAATTTAATTAGATCTTTTTTTGGAATAAATTCTTCCTTTTAGATAGATATAAATCAACGGCGACTCTGCTAGTTTTTTTTTTTAAAAAAAAACGGCGACTGTGCTTAGGCCCGTCGATTTCTCCTGGGTTGGATCCAGCTGCTTAATTATCCGGACACGGTCATATTCCCGGCGAGAGAACGAACGGTGCGGATTGGTAGATCTTGGACGTGTGTCGTACTGTTCGTTCAAGAAAGAGCGGCTGCGCCCTACCGTGCATGGTGGAGTCGCTTCTGTCTCGGGATTATAGTATTAACCAATAGTTTAGTGCATGGTGGAGTATAATCTTTTCAATGGCGGCCATCATTGGTAGTATTAGAAAGTAGAAACCCCGATGAACACATGCTAACTGAAAGCTACGCACGAGAAGGGCGAGCGAGAGCGACGAGTTTGGTGCAATGGCGCTCCTGGTCAGTGCTTCTCTTTCTTTCTCTCTAATTATTACTACTATAATTCTCTACGGACTGAAGATGCATGCAGCGCAGGAGCGGTTGATCCAACCCCACTCGCTCACTCATGTTACTATTCCGTCTTCTCCACGAATTTCTACTGTTCAACACATCTGGAAGGAAGACCGACCGACGGCCATGTACGCTTCTACTGTTGGTCAGCACGCGCGCCATTGTCACCGGAAAGAGACGGAGCTGCTTTGTATCGAGACATCGCCTTGTTTGAGATAGAGAGAAAGGCGCACTACAATCATTTCGAAAAGCATGGGTAGTAGCTGCGGTGGCAGTGGGTGTCCGAATGTACCCACTCCACGTATTTCTACATCGATTTTGATTTTTTTTTATGTGCGCGAATTGTTTGGTGCATACAAGCCAATGTGGTACAGGAAGAGCGTGCCCTAATCATCATCTATAGCTTCGGAGGTAATGATGCAAGAAGCATGCATGGCCGTGGGAACGGTTCGGAATTTCAAAGCGCGACTCAAAGTTTGTACCGGTTTGAGTTTCATGTTTACATTTTTAGAAGAAAAGAAGAAATCCATGCAACTCCTTTCGCTCGGCCCGCGACTCATCGCACTGAAATTGAAATGAACGCTAGACCTCCCACCAGATCTGAAATCAAGTTCTGAAACGACACATCTCGATCGACAGCATCAAGCAGGGGATGGAAGTTACTTTGTCGCCGTTGCGCTTGACACTTTTGTCGCCTCCGTCGCCTTGTAATCATGTTGATGTGGAAAGGCCAGGCCACGCGATATGATAGGCTGAGATACCAGCTAGCTAAGCTAGCCATCAGTTCCCATCAGCATATGCCGTGAGTGACTGGCCGCCATTTGTCTACTTACAAGATAATTAATCTAAGCTTAATTGGGTGCTAAGCTGCGACCGAGGTTTCTACTACCTATAGCCTCGTCGAGGTCTCTCTAAATAGCAAGAAGAATCCTTGG